TTTATCTGCTTGAATGCATCAGCACGCGGTGTTAGCTGCTTAGCGCTTACACGTTATGAATAGGTATTGAGAGACAATACCTTAACAACTGCTTTCCAGAACTGGATCGTTAGGCCTCTTCATTTTAAGTGTTAGTGAGGGGAGACTCCAGAGCGCCAATGTTCTGAGGACCTCTGTCAGATGCATTTCTCATTTTATGGCCAGACAGGCTGATGTATGCCTTCCTTCTCAATTCTTTCCTCCAGAATATGCATGACAAGCAGGCTGAGAAATGTCTCATACTGGATCCAGTTTGGTCAGCAGAGTTGTGATTTCAGAGTGAATTCCATGCTTATCTTGCTTGGGGAGAGCCCTGCAACTCAGTTCTTGCTCTACCTTTCAGGAAGATTTCACCTATTTGTGCTAGCAACTGGCCTGTGTTCAGAAGATTTAGCTGACAGAGGAATGGCACTAACATTAATGAAATCGTAAAAGGGTTAAAAGGGGAAGAGTAAGGAGAAAAGGTCAGTAGTTTTATTGTTGCCTATACTTGGTTTAAGCTGACTGTAAGACATCCTGGAAGAGATAGAAGCTCTCGCTCTCTTTCTCTCGCTCTCTTTCTCTCGCTCTCTTTCTCTCGCTCTCTTTCTCTCGCTCTCTCTTTCTCTCGCTCTCTCTTTCTCTCGCTCTCTCTTTCTCTCGCTCTCTCTTTCTCTCGCTCTCTCTTTCTCTCGCTCTCTCTTTCTCTCGCTCTCTCTTTCTCTCGCTCTCTCTTTCTCTCGCTCTCTCTTTCTCTCGCTCTCTCTTTCTCTCGCTCTCTCTTTCTCTCGCTCTCTCTTTCTCTCGCTCTCTCTTTCTCTCGCTCTCTCTTTCTCTCGCTCTCTCTTTCGCTCTCTTTCTCTCGCTCTCTTTCTCTCGTTTGAGTTAGCGCCCTCCTACAGAACACCAGAAAAGACTCATAAAATCATGATGACTTCTTGCATTGTTTCCTCCCAATTTCTGCCAACATTTGACTTTGACTCCAACATTTGTTTTTGAATCTCATCTAAATTAGAAAGGCTGAACTACGCTGTAGCAGATGATGCGAATATGTTCAGCTGTTTTGCGGAAGAAAGGCTGCCCAATTAGCAGTAGGGGTTTGGGGGATTTTTTTTTTTTGTATATATTTGTTTTTTAAGTTTACAAACGATCAGCAATTTGGTAAATAATTTTAAGCAGAGAAACATGACCACTAAAAAGCATCATAATAACATGTCTGTAGAGTACTTTGAAGATGAAAAGCCCTATATACTGTAAACATTATTACTACTCTAGCTTAATCTATGTGGAATAATTAAATTAGCATAAGCAAGATCCAGATTTTTTTTATATATGCAGTGTAATATTTCAAAAAATCTATTATGTTTACTTGCACAATTTAACATAGAAAATTCACCTTCTTACATTTTCAAAATATTTGAGTTACAAGGATTTAAGATTTTATTGCACAAACATAGAGATGGTCCTAATCGTGAATTATCTACCAGAAATGTATGCTCTCTTGGCTATTAGAAAAATTAGATGTTTTTAAAAACAGAATAAAAATACTATGCAATCAGAAATAGCTGTATGCCAGATAAGGAACTGTTTGTGGGGCAGTAGGCCTTCCTAGGCTTGTAGTGTGGGTTTGGAGAAGACTTTACTGAATTTAGTTACAGGGCCAGGCAGGTGCCAGATTTTGCTGGGAAGTGAACACCTGCCAGGCTACTCCAGATAACTCAGCAGCTCAGAGGCATTTTCCCAGGCTCCCAGATGAATGGTCTCTAATAGCCGTGGGAGAGGGCTTTCCACTGTTACACACTGTACCACAGCCTCTTCTTGGCAGCCTTGTGGAAGCTCAAGTCAACTTGGCTGTAACTCCTTTGGAAAACAAGTGTTGCTGGATAGTTTTACAGTAAAAAGTCAGTGTCTGATACTTCCTCTCAGTGTCCTGGGACTATGAAATATAACAAGCAGGGCAAATTACCATTCCCTTAAAAGGCGTTACTCACTGGTGCATATTACAGCTGAAACTGAACTGCAGCCTTTCTAGAACTACTTTTATTAAGTCATGTTCTGGGTTCCTGGGTCTCTCTCTCTCATTTGGTAGTTTATTTTTTTGGAACCTGAATCAGATGATTTAGTGCACAGTTTTGAAGAAACAGAAAAAATAAACACTAGCCGGCATGTTATTTCTGCCTACATTGGTAGTCTGCGTAGGGAGTTATGTCTGCATTGCATGATGAAGGTGAAATTTAAGATTTGGCTGAGTGGGCTTGCTGAGCCTAAGATACATGAACTTTCAGTCTGCATTATTGGCTGCGAAACAGTGTTTGTAAATTAAAGTTTCTACAGTCTACTTAGAAGGAGTTAATGCTGGATTATTTGAAACATCTCAGTTGTTCCGTCCTTCCACATATCATGAACAGTAGCTTTTGGTCCTTGCAGAGTATACACTGGCCTTCTTCCCTGTATATAAATGGTGCTGATGGTAGACAAGTCTGGATTTGAGAACTAATTCAGACTCATGCTGACTAACTGTGTAGAAAGTTTGAAAAACTGCAGGGTGCATAAGGTTGTCAGATAAGAAGGTATTCTTGTGGGGCTTTTCTTGTTTCATGAAGAAGAATGGTTAACTGGATAATATTTTTCTCTCGGTGGAAGCAGAAACAGAATGTTGCAGCTTTTATAGTGCTGTGGTAATTCTGACAATTTCAAAGCTGTAAGGAAGTTCTGCAAACTCCAGGTGACTTTATGGGCTAGGTCAGATTTCACAAACGAGAATTTCAAAATATTTGATGAGCATAGGTATTTTAGTTTTAAAATATGGGTAACTTGAATGAAATGCATCTTAACATTTTCTCACAGCTACAGCAAAGCATCTGTTTTGGCTTTTTCGGCAAAGTCTAGTAGTCACGGAAACTGACATTCTCTTCTAGTGTTCGTCTCTCTGATCAGAGCTTATTTGCCCAGGTACAGCACCTCCTGAAGGCTTTGTAATACTTTCAGATTTGAGGTAACTCTGCAAAAATAGTGTCGAGCTGTCTGGATCATGCGTATGTGTATGTATGTATGTGTTTGGTTAGATTTGAGGGAGGTGTTATACCCCAGAGAACAGGAACCAGCTGAATTAAAATTCTTTAAGAGGAACTTCTAACTTTGTTCAAGCCATTAGTCAATAAAATATATTAAAAGCTTACCCCTTGGTTAACACCAGGTTAGCAAGCAAAATAAACAGATATGCATGTCACTTGATTCTTAAAAGAATTTTAGGAATGAAGTATCATGCTTTTCCTTGTTGAAAAGATTTCCCCTTTTTATTTTAAGTCCTACTGAAGAAAAAAGCTTTTGGAATATCCTAGACCCATGTATGAGGAAAGAGTCTTTTAATAATACTCTCTTTGGAAATATGTTTGCAAAAATTGTTCTTTTATGAACAGTACTCTTTCAGCATTTTGGAGGTCACAGTGGAAGACACTGTTATCACACTAATAATTTGTTTATATAAGGGGCAAATTCCTTGATTTTGCTTACTGTATTAAGAGTGTTGAAGAACTGTGGATGCCAAACTGGAAATAGCTAAAAGTAGTTTTCTTTAATTGTGTTCGTAAATATACAGTTAATAAAGGTGATGGATTACCTCCAAATTTTTCTCAAGTGCTCCTAATTTTTAAGGGATGTTTTGACTTGTCACATCTTGACTTGATCTTTAAAGGGAAGTGAAGTTTTAGATATCTTGCTGTGGAAAAGGAAAAAAAAGGACTGATAAATATCAAAGAATTGATTGTGATCAATAACTACAGCACTAAATGAGAGATGATGTTGTGGAACATCGCTTTATGGTGAGCTCCAGGAGATCTTTTACACGTAGGAGAGTTGTGGACTGTGCAGGAGAGGACACGCATTTTCAAGCTTATACTTGCTTGGAAATGCAGCATGCCTTGGCACTTGCTCGGCAGAGACTGAGAGTGGGACAGGGTCTTTCCTTAGTTCCTTTAAATTGTTAGAAGAACAGCAATACCACGTGATTTTTAAACTCTTCTGTGGTATTTGCAGCTAGAGTGTCTGGCCGTCTTGGAAGGGGCAATACATTAAGACTTGCAAACCCCTTCAGAGTTAGGGAAAATATCGTTATCCCTCTTTTGCAAATTTTTTTTAGTGAGCTGTACAGAGAGACTGTGGAGGAGGAGTCACAGATTCTAACTTCTCTCAATTTCAGCGGGAGTTAGGTTCCTAAGTACCATTGTGAATCAAGCCCTAACTGATTTACTCAGGGTCATTTGGGAATCTAAGTAAAACAGAAGTAGAAGATGGTTTCCATAGGTCTAACAGTCTCTTAACCATAAGATGCTTCCTTCTAGCCTTTTTTTATGCTCCTGGAGTGCAAAGATTTCTGTGGTTTTCAGGAATGCGAACTGAAGAAACCTCTAGATATGTTACAGGTATCTGCTGGGAAGGCTGGCGTGACTCTCTGTACTTGCAGATATTGAGGCTTCTAAATGTTTACGTTTCTCACTTAATTGAATATAGTTGTAAATAATTAAGACGTTTCATGGATTTTTTTCATTCATTTTTCAGCATTTTTCTTTCCAGCTTTGAGTATGTCATGCTTCTCTAGAAGGCAGTTAAGGAAATGGTCATCTATAGTCTTCATGTAGAATTTGTTTAAAAGTGTATTAGTCAGTAGGAGTCTAGTCCCCGGGGCTATTGACTGGACGTTTTCTGTGATCAGTTAATTCATTTAAATTTATTTTTATGATTGGATACCAGGACTTTGCAGTGAGTCAATTGTTTAGGTGTTTTCCTCCCTGTCGGGTACTAATTTCTTCAGTATACATAGCTCTTTTTAAAAATATTCCTTGAAAGTTGTGTTTTCTTTTGTATTTATGAGCTGCTGTTTCTCTCTTTCCAACATTCCTATCTTCATAGATGTGCAACGTTTTGAGACCAGAATGCCCCAGATGCCCTTACACTTAGTCTTATTGCTTTGTTTTATGTTGCAGGCAACAGTTTTCACATTACTGCTCACTTTATGAAGAGATGGGTTAATCTCCGTTGTGTTGTAGGGGAACGTTATCGTGGTAAGGAACTGATTTCTTACAGTTTTACTTAGAATTTTGCGTTTCTGGGAGAAAACAATGGGATCATAAACTAATACTTTTGTTAGATTTTTTGGTATACTTGATCAAATTTTTTTTTTATGATTTTTTTCCCAGAGACTGTTTGCTAAAATTAGAAGTGTTTCTTAATATATGGTAGATTTTTTTTTTTTTAACTTGGTTTTAAATTTTAGTATGCTTTACCTCAGGGTAATCAGCTATGCCACACCAAATTCTGTAAGTATGATGAGACTCAGCATTTTCCTGAGTCTCTGCAGGGTGAATCAACCAGAGGTTGCAGTATGAATCACTTCATTGTTGCTTGAGTGTGTTGTGACATCAACTCTATGGTACAAGTGTATGCAAGAAAAAGCTTTCATTCGACTCAGTGCTATAAAATCTTTACATAAGTGATGTCATTGGACCAGATCTTTTTTCATGTTTTTTCAGGCCAAGATGTTCTGTAAGGAAGTGATATCAATCCTGTCCTGCCAACAACAATAAACACTGCCCTTTGTGTTGATCTTTTCATATAAAAGAAGAATAATAAATCAACTAAGTGGCATTAAAAATATGGCTACTTGAATGAAAATCTCTTTGTAATTTCTTGGGATTTTTACAGGAATTTATTATATTCATGAATGTTTAAATCTCTCTTCAAACATCAACTAATTTTTTTCTAACTCCATAGTGATTAAAGAGATTAGACTGTTGATTTTAAATATTTCATCAAACTTGTTCTCCTTGCCTGCTGAAAGAATAGTTAGGTTAGAATAGCAAAAAGCCTGCAGTACTGTTTCAACATTATCTTCTGTGTATTAAATCTGAACTTTTTAAAAGTAATAATGAATGCTTAAAGATACATTTATTTTGTTAGCCAGCAAGTGAGATTATTTTAAAACATAACAATAAAAACAACTAGCTAAAGTTAACTTACTTTACTAATGCTGCCAGAAAGAGAGGCTTTAATTCTCAGTCAAAACTCAGCTTCCACGTGAAGCCTCTAACAAGAGAGGAGCTTAATTTTACTGGTTTTCACTGCCAACAAGTATCAAAATAAGTATATATCATCAAATAGTAAATAATTTGGTGCCCATGTTTCTCTTCTGTAAGACACACTTAGTACTTTATGCACAAAAAGCAAATATCGAGCCTAATTTAAAAAGAATCTTTCATATTTTAATTGGTGATTCTCAATATCTAAAATAAACTTATCAAAGAGACTGTTACTGGAACCCCACATAACAATTTAAGTCCTTGTGATAATTGCCCAGCTTTTCTTTCGTAGTCCCTCTCACAGAGTCGCAGAGTATTTGAGGTTGTAAGGGACCTCTGGAGATCATCTAGTCCAACCCCCCTGCTCATTGCAGAGTCAGCTGGAGCAGGTTGCTCAGGACATTGTTACGTTGAGTTTTGAATATCTCCTGTGATGGAGACTCCACAGCCTCTCTGGGCCACCTTTTCCAGTGCTTGACCATCCTCACCATGAAAAAGTTTTTTCTTCTGTTTAAATAGAATTTCTTATTTTTCAATTTGTGCCCATTGCCTGTTGTCCGTTACTGGATACTGTTGAGAAGAGTTCTGGTTCCATTTCTTTATACCCTCCCATCAGGTACCTTTACACATTGATAAGATTCCCCCGTTTAAGCAGTCTCGGCGCTCTCAGCCTCTCCTCATGTTACAGATACTCTGATTTGTTAATTGTCTTTGTGGCTCATCACTGGACTTGCTCCAGTATGTCCCTGTCTCCCTTGTCCTGGGGAGCCCAGAACTGGATGTGGTCCAGATTTGGTCTCACCAGTGCTGGAGCGAGAAGGGAAGGAGAACCTTCCTCAGTGTGCTGCTAATGCCCTTTGTAATGCAGCGCAGGATACTGTTGGCAGCCTTTGCCACCAGGGCATATTGCTGGCTCATGGTCAACTTGGTGTCCATGAGGACTCCCGGGTCCTTTCTGCAAAGCTGCTTTCCAGCCAGCTGAGCCCCAGCCTGTACTGGGGTATGGGATTGTTTCCTCCTCAGGTGTGGGTTTCTACAGTTCCCCTTATTGAACTTCATGAGGTTCCTCTCTGCTCGTTTCTCCAGCCTGTCCAGGTCCCTCTGAATGGCAGCACACCAACCTGGTTGCACAACCACTCCTCTCAGTTCTGTTTACTCTGCCCCACCGTCTAGGTCATTAATGAAGATGCGAAACAGTGTATGCCCCGGTATTGACCCCGGGGCACGCTGCCACCAGCTGGACTTCATGCTGCTGATCACAGCCCGTTGAGGCTGGCATTTCAGCCAGTTTTCAGTCAACCTCACTATCCACTTATCTGGTCCGTATTTCATCAGCTTGGCTATGAGGATGTTATGGGAGACAATGTCAAAAGCCTTACTTAGGGTAAACAATATCTAGTGCTCTCCTTTCATCTCCTAAGCCAGTTATCTCTTTGTAGACGGCTATTGGGTTGGTCAGGCGTGATTTTTCCCTTCGTAAATTCATGCTGACTAGTCCCAATCTTCTTTTCCTTCATATGTCTGGAAGTGTTTTCCAGATCATTTCTTCCATCACTGTCCCAGGGATGGATGTGAAGCTGACCATACAGTAGTCAGTAGACTGCTTATAGTTTGAAAGCCATTGTATTAGACCTTTGAAGGTGGCGTTTCAGGTCATGAGGTTACAAGCAGAGAAACAGTAATCTGGTCACTATTAACATAGAAATGTTAGTACTTTCTTGGACACAGTTCTGCTAGCAGAGTTGATAGTTCTAAGATCACTGTGAAAGGCTTGTATTCGCAATCAAGTTACAGTAGTTTTACAAGCTAGCGTGGCAGTTAAGCTGCAGCTACGGTCTCTGTGCGTACGCTTTCTTAAGTAAAGGCAAATGTAATGCGTTTCAACATCACCATCTTTCACTGTAATGACTCAGCAAAGTTACTGCTGGTAAGCACTTGTAGGAGTTTGTCAGATAATAATAGAGCTGTGTGCTTCTGATGGAAGTGCACTGCCTTGTAGAGAGGCAGTTATCCATATGGATGACCTGAATCTCACTGGTGAATTGTGCACATCCTGCTCACACTCACTTCCTTGTGATGAGATGCTCCACCAGAAACTCCAAGAGATCAATCTGATGTTTTTCTGCATGCTTGTCTCTTCAGTGTCTTGGAAGATCAGGTGTTCTGGCTTGTTTTTAAGTTATACCAAATGTAAAAATTGATACCTCTCTTGAAAAAAAATCGGTATGTCTCTTAAAAAAAAAATCTGAGCTGAAAATATGAGGATGTTAATCTGGAAATTATCTGGTCAGTAAAATAACAAAATATCCAACTGTCCTCTTGTCATAGCCTTGATAGTTACTGAATAAAGCTATGTTTGTTCTATTCTGATCTGAAAACTCTTCAACTTTTAATCTTCTGTAAATAGAAACGTTGTTATTTGTTCAGCACAAACCATGTGATCTTGAATAAAATATGTAATTTAGTAAAAGTTAATCAATTTATTCAATGACTTCAAAATTACAATAGTCGATTTAAAACACTTTGCCTTGTGTTGAATTTTATGCCAAATCTTGGTTGAATATATCATGCTGCATAAAAAACATGCTTTACAGCTTTTGTTAAAAAAAGATTAGAATAGCACAAAATCAATCATCCGAAGTTGTTTGTCTGTGGATTCCTTGTGGTATATTTGTCGAGGGCCTTGTGTGGACTAACGTGCAGCCATGGCTGTCCTCTTGAGAACTGGGCTTACTCTCACTTACTGATTATTGAATGGTTTAAAAAGGCAAAGCAACCCAAGCCAGGGATGAGGTAATGAAGAAAGAAGGTAAGAAATTGCTAGTAGTGGAGTAGATTAAGTGATTTCTTGTGCAGTTTAAAAAAAAATTATTTTATTTTACTAAAATAATATGTGTATTGCCATTATATGTCTTCGAATGCATACATATCATGTTTGTAATCTTCTTTTCAATTGTTTTTGCATAGAGCTACGTCTATTTCCAGACAGATTTGTGGTTTGTGTCAGTAAACTTGAATCTGTTCCAGGTGCTTGGACATGTGAGAATGGTGCTTTGGTATGTACAAAACAGTTCTATGACTTCCCTGTTTGTTATAGAGTGGTAAGACGAGTGTTTGTATATAGATGTAGTTATTCATATATTTGTGTGGAACCAGAAAATGACCTAAACAGTTAGGCTGAAATATTCAAAAGGAGAGCTTAAAGTGAATCTGAAACAGAGAATAATGAGAATTTTTGGAAGAGCTGGGCTTTTTTTTTTTTTTTTTTTTTAAATAAAGCCACTTATTTAGGAAGCTAGGTATACTTTCAGCACCTTGGCTTTAGGGGTCTTTTTTAGGATCTTTTTTCCTTTAATTTGTCTTTGTAACATTTTATTTTCCAAAATGATTATGGAGCAATTTTTAATGACTGTGGGGTTTTTTGTATGTTTTGTTAGTGTTTCTGTTCTGCAGAACAACTCAAATGGATCAGTGGTAGCCCTACTGGGAAAACAAATTTCGCAGTCGTTTCTGGGGAAAAAGGCACTGGTGGGTAGTTAAATGCTGTAAAAAGTTGTACTTAAATATTTCATCCTGAAGGCTTTATCAAGGTTAAAGGCTTATGTTAACTGTTGACAGTTAACTGTTGATTGTCTCAGGAGCGCTCACATTGACCCAGGTGGCCTGCTATACGGCAGGCAGTCTCTTCTGTGCTCATGTTAAGAGTCAGGATTACACATTGAGGTTTATGTATATTTTAGTGGTTTATATCGGATATATTTAACTATATTTGATATTTTTTTAAAAGTGTTTTTTTATTAACTGAATGCGAGGGGTTTTTTTATGTCAAGCAGGGAGTGTTTATTTCTTATGCTAGACTCATAGTTTATTATCTTATTTCCTAAGATGATAAGTATTCTTAAGTGTCAAAGGACTGAGCAAATCTCTCTGCCTCTCTCTGCAAGAAAATCTAATTGCTTTAGAAGTACTTTTCTACTTTGAGTATTACTGTTTTCTGAATATTGTCTCGAAAACTACTTAGATGCTTTACACAGAAAATCCTGTCTCTGCATTTTGATTGAAAAACGTTTTTCTTTCATGTTTAAATATCTGTCAAGTGATATCCAGTGCCCGCACCTTTAGTATTCTTAATTTTTATAAAAAACAAGCAAACAAACAAAAAAAAACAGATTAGAAGTTTTCTTCTTTAGTTTCTTTCACATGGTTCTGTGTAGTAAAGAGAAGGCAAACAAAAAACTTAATGATCTGAACTTCAGCTTGATTATTTCAAAATATAATCTGATCATGTGGCAACTCCTAGTTGTTGAAAAAATGAGCTTTAGGTCTAAAAGACTTCTCAGTGGGATCGTACCCTAATCAATAGTAGAATTTTGAGAGTTTGCTTTAGTTACAGATGCAATACTGGAACATATAACTGGACTGTTTAGTGACATGCGGGTAAGGGAGAATTAAGATAGCTACCGCCAAGCCACCTTCCCTGATTTGAAGGACTACGATGATGTGAACAGATTTTTAGCAAATGTTATGGAGTGCCTTCCTAACTCTTGCCACACAAACTTAAACAGTCCACTGGGGACTGTTTTAGATGATCTAGGTCTTCTGTGGCACATTTAGTACCAAGTTTGTTGTATATTCTAGCTGACTGTTTTATCAAGCTGGAAGAGTCCTCAGTTGCCACTGAGAAATAATTTCAGGTTCTGGACACTCCAGAAGTAAAGACTAAGGAACTGCACTTTGTGTATATGCTTTTCTCTGTGCAATTTAACAGTGTGTATGCTTGAATTCCAAATGAGGATGCAGAAGACCACCCAGAAGACCTTTCCATTGATAGTCTCTGTTATTATATTCTACCATGGCCTGAAGATGAGGCATGTGTTTTCTTTCTCTGTGTGTTGATTTTGAATCACTTCATAATTGCATTCAAGTTCTTTTAGATGTTTAATCAGCTCTTACCTTTTGTTACCGATTGAGGGTCTATCTCTGTTTTATTAAAGCAATTGACTAGCAGTTAATAGTGACTTCATCACTTTTCAGTGCTATGTATTGTTATTGCGATTGACTTAGTCAAGACTTTAAAATCAAAAATTTTTTAATTGCTTTTATCCTGTTTTATACTTTGGGTCAGGCTTTAATTCCTGAACTGCGTCAATAAATGTCAGGTTCAATACCCTCCTTTTGAATGCTTTGAACCAGTTTTATGTCAGCCTGACAGAGGCACGTTTATTTCATTCATTGCTCCTTCTCTCACACTTGCAACTCTTCTGTTCCTCACCTATCTTCAGCAGTTTGTTCTTTGCCTTTTCACTGCCTTTTAGGCTATTCTCTACATCTTCCGAAATAGGCATTGATAAAACCAAGAGTTTCAAGACATGTAGCCAAATAGGAAATAAAATATTTTATGTCCTTTATGTCCTACATGTTAGGAAGAATAATGATTAGCTTGCTTGTGAGATATTCACGAGCGCAAACCTGAGCAGCAATTGCTGAAAGCAGCAATTTGAAGCCTTCTGTGATGTGTTTTGTGGCTTAAACAGTCTTTGTCAAATTAGCTTTAAATGTAAGGTAATAAAAGATTTGCGAGCAGTTCTGAGGAACAGAGCTGAAATTAGATATCAGTAAATTGTCTTCTATTTTATTTTCTGTTTTGTAAAATCCATCCTTAGAATTGGGTGTTGCTGTGGTCATATCTAGGAAACTGGCTGCAGACAATAATGCATCATTTTGGAAGAAAGCAAATCTATTAAAGAAACAATACAGCAAGCTATTAAAAATACATGAACAAATTGGAAGTCTCAAAAGATGGAAGAATAGGCTGACTAATTAGTGCTAAATATAAGCATAAAGCCATTGTTTCATGTTTTCTCAGATTATATTTGTAATCTGGAATAGTTTTATCTTGAAAAAGGAGTGAGTTTTGGGAACGTGGCGAAAGAGGAAACCTAGGGAAATATACCAGCTGTAGAGGCATTAGTTTTTTGTGTCAAAATGGCGACGTTTTCTTAATGATTATTATTTAGAGAGCTAGAATGGAAAATTGTAACTGGATTATCTGAAGAAAGAGTGGAAATGGAAATGGGTGGAAGGATTATTGGAGGCTCGAGAACATTTTTAGAATGTGCTAACAATGGAGTATTCATTGATAACTACATCAACTTTATACTAGAATCTATGAGAGGAAGTAGTTGTAGGGAAATTATGAAAGAGGTTACGCTAATGGTGATATTAAAATGGAAATTTGAAATTACTATTCATATGAAATTGGAAAAGAAAATGGAGAGTAGGAGATTCTATCTTGATGTAAAAGATATGAAGGTTTCCACTGAGCCTTATTACGTTATGGGGAATATTATGGAAAAATTAAAATGTTTCCAGACAGAATATGACTCTTAAAAAGTAAAAAAGGAGAAAAATGCTAAAAATATATGGAGTGCTTTTTAAACTCCAGCAAATAAATAAAAGCTAGAAAGCAAACCATTTTGTCTTTTTCATGCACGTCTGATTTTATAAATTGTCATTGTAACATATTTCAGACTTATATTAAAGAGTTCATACTTATATTAGAGAATTCTCTTTAATAAAATAAATATTCTAAAAGCGTAAGTGACATAATATGTTTGGATTTTGATTATGTTGGAAAGACGCTTCTGGTTCTTTCATTAAAACATATTTAGCAGGAATTAACGGGAGACTTCAACAGAGGATGTGCTGCTGGAACTAGCAGTATGGCTATTGGAAGGTAGAATTAAAAGGAGAACCTTTTTTCAGGTAGGAGCAATTTGTAAAGATTGGTAGAAGGTTTTATGTTAAATTCAGTTATCTTAAATACCTTAAAGACCGTATTTTATTGTTAACTGATACCATATTGGACAGGGGAAGGAGGAAACACTGTGAAATACACTTGTACAGTTCACAGTGTACAAGGTGCTAACCTTGGCATGAAATTGTGTTGTGTATATATAATATCACAGTTAAACTGTTGTAATTGTGGGCTAATCCTGAAAAGGTCAGTCAGCGTCCCCTCTATTTCCAGCTGCATATTCCTTTCCTTTCCTTTCGTTTCTGTTGCAATGGACCTAGTGATTTTTCAGTCAAGATTAAAGCAGTTGAGTTGATCCAGCAGAAAACTATTTATTTGTTAGATTTCTTTGTTTTTTTTATTGGAGGGTTAGTTTTCTGTCATGTCAGTTCACTGAACCAACTCCTCCTGTGCCCGTGCAATTGCTAACTGTAACACAAAGAAAGTTGTAGGAGCATGTAGACAGGATCTGGGAGAAGAGTGGAGGACCGCCCCTTTAGGCAGCAGCAGACAGTTACCCTGGAGTGGAAGTGGCATCCAAAACACACATTAATATCATATTTAATGTAATACTTGTCTGACTGACATTCTTCAAAGTCGTTTCCTTATCTCATTTTTTTCCTCATTAAATCCACTTTTCATTTGGATTTAGATAATATGCTATAATTCTTTTTAATCATTATAGGAGGCATAATGAGAGAACAACTTAATATTAAGCAGTAGTTTGATAGTTATCTGAATGAAATTAAGTGTATTGTATGAATGGGGTTAAATGCGTTGCACTGGTCTCAGTGGCCCAGAAGGTAGTGTCGCAACCTATCATTCATTCATGACTTCTTCCAAATTATCTGAAACAAGATTACACAAGAATACTGAATTATATCACATCTCCTTTATTCTGTGTATAGATGTATGCTGTATTTCTTTTGAATCCCAGACTCAGAGGTGGGAAGTACTACACCTGGAAAGAGGCATTTGTGTGAGGTATGGCCCCCAAGGCCAGCTTCCTCTAAGCTCCTGCTTTGTTCAGATGTGTTATGCTGCTAGGCTTCCTCATATATCTGAAGTATTGAGTTAGAAATGCATGGGGGCTAGGATTCAGGAGCCATACCTCTCTTGCAGTTTTGTACCTACTAAGCTGACACTGGCACTTCTGTATGTTCTTCAGATCAGCCCCCATGCTCTCTTTGCTTACTGGTGTCCATTTTAAACAATAGATGTGATCAGTTAAGCAGCAGCAAGTCATCATGTTAACATGCC